CTGATTCGGTCCTAAAAGTTAATTAAGTTAATTTTCGGAAAAAAAACAAAAATTAAATTAAAGATATAGTTATTACAAGTTATAAATGCTAGGGTTTCATTTGTTTGGATGTAAATATTTGCTGTGTTGGGTTATTTTTAAATATTTATAATTTTTTTAAAAAAAATTTAATAAAAATAACTTATTTATTAAAGAATATGAAAACTACCAACGTCGGCTTTAAATCGCCTAAATCCAATCGGACATAGTCAAGCACTGTTCTTACTTCTTACGAATGCATTCTTCGTCGATCGGGTTGGGGCTGTGAAAGGAGAAACGTGAAAAATTTGCGGTATTTATTTCATTTATTTTGGAATTTCTAATCCTATTAATGGTCGAATTTGTATGGGGCATATTTCTTAGCTTGGGACTTAGTTTTCTACACAATTTCTTCTGTTGATCTTATAATTTGGAGCAAAATCTAAAACTAAAATTGGTATCATTGAAAAACTTATTTCAAGGCACGGACCAATTCGGATTCAGACTTGGCCAAATGAACATTGACAATCTCACACTTGATAAATCCTAAAAAGATGATGCAAGTGGAGAATCTTCTTTCTCTGTGTTGTAGCCTCCTCTTCTGAGATTTGTATGTTAGATTCATGTTATTTGGGAACATACTTTTCTGGCTTTAGAAGTACTACGTCTCCTGGATTGAAGCCTCTGCGTCTTAATCTTTTGTTGTAACTGTTTGAAGGTGTATAGTCTCATTTCCTCTCTAACCGGAAGAGTCTCTTTTGGGCTTAAAAAGGCATACTTGTCTGTCGCACGTAACCCATCCAAATTGAATCTTTGAAAGAAAATAAGAGTATTGAGAGTTCTCCAATGCATCGATTGCTGATCTGATGTTGTAGGGTGGTTCGAGTCGCAACAAGGATATTGCGAGTTCTCACACCGAATATTAATTGTCAAACTACATATCTTTTAATTATTTATTTATACTAAATACAAGTAAATGGAAGATCTCATTCCCTTGTTTGTGGTATAAATAATCAATTAAAAAGAGAAGTCAGATTTTTTTTAAACCATTTTCTCCTCCTTTCAGACGAGCTCTCTCTCTCTCTCTAAATCTACGCATTCAAGCTCCCATTTCACGCATTTTCACGTGGTATTATTCTTTGGTTGTCCACCTTAGAACATGCAAGTAGTCAGTAAAAAATAATGACATGTGCATTGTCGGAAAGTGAGACTTATATCTATTGATATGAGAAAAGTGACCAGACGAATATGGTTTGATACGTATACCCAAACAAGTAGTCCTGGCTTTGTACCTTGCCGTTTAACAACTCATATGGATTCAACCATTTTCGATGATTTCTAATTTAGTCCACAAAAAACCTAACTATCATCTTCATTTCGACTCTGTAGATGCCCAACACAAGTGTGACACAAAAGTCTGTTACGACTTCTTTTGCTAAGAAGATTCTCCGTTGTTGTGTTGTTTTTCTTTTATTTTTTATTTTTAAATGTGATACAAAAGTCTGTTACGACTTCTTTTGCTAAGAAGATTGTCCATTGTTGTGTTGTTTTTCTTTTCTTTTTCTTTTTTTTTTTAAAAAATTTATGTTTGTAAAATATAAATAAGACAATAGAAGAAGGGCAGAAAAGTTTTTTATCAATAATTTCATACCTAAAGGTCTAACAGACTAGTTTAACAATTCACTATTTTGGTGTGTCTGTTTTGGTTCTATCCCACATTCTTTAATTATCTAAAAGATTGAAACCACGTGAGATATTTAATCACCTTTCATGTAAATATATTAATATGAAAATATGGCTGGCCGCTTTTGTTTAAAATTTTTTTGTTCGACACTATGTAATGGGACCAATTTCATTGTATGATAAATTTTTATTAATTGAACATATCAATAACATGGCATGTTCTGTTTATCGAACATTTTTTTTTTTGTCGAGACTTGTATTCCTTCAATGTAAGGCATTGAGATCCACATAAATCCCAATGCATTTCATCTAAGGATTGAATTAAAGTGACCAAGCATTGATGCCACCAGTTCAGAGTCAACTCCGACAATCAAAACGCTAGTGCATATATAGATGAGAAAGGTTTTTCATCTGAAATGAAAGTACAAGTATTAGTAGCATAACAAAAATGCGTTCCTCGTCATTAATATGTTTGCTCGCGATAATTGTGGCCTCTCGGGAGATTACGGCAAGGAAGAGAAGAAAGAAATGAAGAAATAGAGAGATACGATCGTCCAGCTGCGCCAGAAAAAAGAATAGAAGAAGCATCTGACTCTTTCATGCATGCGGGCTCGATTTAGTGTCATCACATGATATAATTGATAAGTATATGAACCAAATCCACCGCATTGAATTTATTAATTCTGAAGGTAGAGATTGAAAGAACATGCATCGACAAGTCCATTCCAAATTAAGATTCTAGGACCACACTACACTAGACAACTTTTCGCGGCATGGCAAGCATTGTATGTAAATATTATTCATTAAGCCAAATATTTCTTGTTTACGAGGAAAATGTGATGAGAAGTGGATTGACAAATGGAGTGAAGTATCAAATTAGGTTTTTAAATAAATATATATATATATATATTTATATTACCTCTATCTCGTATTAGTAATTTATTATCTCATTTTTAAATGTCCCAAATTAGTCGTCCAATTTAAAAAGTTAAAACAAATTAACTTTTTAAAAAGTTAACTTTATCTTTTCATCATTGTCCTTTATATTTTCAAAAAATTTCAAATTTGATAACCATACATATCTAAACTAAAAAAGATAAGCTAGTAATTTTAAAAAAGGACAATGCATTAATTGCATGTTCCCTTTAAAAACTTCAATTTCTAAACACGAACACCTAATATAGAATAGAGGGAGTATTTGTTTGGAATTTATCAATTTATATATAATTTAGTAACGTATTCAATTCAAATTCCACCTACCCGTCCTCCTTGAGATAACGAAATTGATATTCTCTCTTTCATATTAAATATGTACAAGTCATTTGGAAGATCACCACCAACTGGTTGCACCACAAGTGGGACTCGGTCGTGGACCCCATCCCCTTCACCGTATTTTGACTTCTTAGGACTGCCCTTGGAATAGAAAAAATTGCAATGGTTAAAAAATATTTAGGTGTTTAATTTATTTTTCATAATTAAATTATTTGTAATAATATTTTTAAAAATAATTTTATTATTAATTTTACAATAATAGTCTTTAATAAGATGTTACCATATTTGATAATAAAATTTGAATAATACTTAGGTCCTCACTAGTGAGATATACAATATACTAATCTCTGATGTGGGCCAATAAAAAATAAAAATACATATTTAATTACCAAATCAAAGATAGTAGATAAATATTCACTTATCAAATAAGAGATAGGTGATTTGATTTATAATTTGATAATTAAAATAGAACGTGTCTATTTTTTATTGGTTCACATCAAAAGTGAGTATGAGGACGTAAGTATTATCCAAAATAAAAAGACAAATATTTATTTTGGGATAGAAGAAGCATAATTTATTGTAAGTAATTTTGATATGAAATTTGATTTTATAATTCAAATACAATATTCTTGTAAATAACTCAATTTATGTCATGATAGTTGGGCATTATCATAAAAACAGAAAATAGAGTTCAAATAAGCACATGTTTAAATTTTTCTGGTTTTTTTCCTTGGTAAAAAATTTAGGGACTGGTTTACTTCGGTAATTAAGAGTGTATTTGGTAGGGTTGATTTGGAGGGATAAGAAGAGAAAAGAAAAAAAAGGATAGGATGGGAGTGTATTTGGATGGGTTAAGCAGAGAAAAAATAGATAATAGGGAAAGATAGGGAGAGGGATAACTATTCCTCCCTATCCCTCATTTGGTTTCTCTCTTAATTTGAGAAGATAGGGAAAGAAAGCATAATGAAGTAAATGATCAATTTGTAATACAAAAAATACCCTCCACAAAATAATATAGAGAAAAATTATTCCATTTATATCCCAATTCAATAAATTTTTGGGAGGTGTAGATGGATGACGTGTGTACTAGTGCATCTATGGTGCTGTACTGAAGTAGCAACATAATACCCAAGATGCCCCGACTGATTAATTAATTATTATTATTATTATTTTAAAAAAAGGTAAAATATTCCATAAATGGCTCTCTCTAGCCTTTTTTGTTTTTTTTTTTTTTTTTTTTTCAATTATCCAGCCTCTAGCTTATACCTTTATTTTGTCTTTGAATAATTTCAAGTCATTTTATAATATATATATATATATATATATATATATATATATATATAACACATAACACTTACACTTTTACTGGTAATATTATTTCATATTTGATAAACTATAACAATTTGTAATACAGTATGACAAGAATATTATCAAAAAAAATAAAATTTATGTTTCGGATATTAGAATTATATATATAGTATGTGTGAAGTTATTAAAAAAGGGTACGACAGTAATTTGGTCGCTATTTTTTCTTTTCTTTTTTCATCTATTTTATCAAAATAAGAATAACTATTATTTCTTTTCTTTTTTCTCCTAACTACCTATTTTTTTTCCTAACTATCCAAACATGAATAGAAAAATCAATATTATCCTTTATTTTCTCTCCTAATTAATACTATTTTTTCTTTTCTTTTCTATCTATCCAAACACACCTAAACCCCTACTAAATATAAGACTTGATAAATTCAAATTCTTATTACGTGTTAAGTTTTATTCGGCACAAATTTACAAATCTCTACTATAGAATTCTTACCCTATACTTTTAAAAAATGATTTTAAAACTGATATTCCGAATTTATTTGTCCGCTTTGAACTTATCCCGCTTTGAACTTATCCCTCCACCAAATGAAAATCAAAAAATTTAAAAATAAAATAAAATATTCGGTATAGACGGTCAACCACTTGAATCATGCCCAGTTGATCTGAATTTATTTGGATACTTTCCACCTAGAGATTTTTGTTTTCAACCTGTGGTCTGTGACATGTTTCATAATTAGATATTCGCTCTTTAAAAGAGTATTCCAAGATAGAGAGTTTGTATCGACATCAAGACAGTAACGTGTAGTAAGTAAATACTCCAGTTTTGGAGAGAGAGGTGGTGGTGGTGTTTTAACTCTGAAGCAGTAACAGCCATGGCGACTAGATGTTTCGTGCTGTATCTTCTATCATGCTTCTCTGTGGCTGTTTTGTCAGTTCTCTTCGTCAGAGCCCGCCAAAATGACAGTCACACATACCCACCTCATCTTTCTTCTCTAAACTCCACTCTTCTGCAACATTCTTTTGGATCTGACCAATCAACAGTTTGGCCTGTATGTATCTCTGTGTGTGTAAATTTGTATGTGTTGTGTGTGTTTCAGTGAGAGAGAAGATAAGATTGTTGTATTTGCCTGATGGGTTTTTGTATTTTGTGGCAGGACTTGAAGTTTAGTTGGAGAATTGTAGTGGCAACTCTGATAGGGTTCTTCGGCTCAGCCTTTGGAACGGTGGGTGGAGTGGGTGGGGGAGGAATTTTTGTACCAATGCTTACTTTGATTGTTGGATTTGATACCAAGTCTGCCGCTGCCCTTTCCAAATGTATCCCCCTCTCTCTCTCTCTCTCTCTATATATATATATATATATATCTATGTGTGTGATTATATATATATAAATATACAAAAATATATCATGTATCTATCATCCTACAGTAACACCCAAAACATCCAATTAACATTGTGCATATATTACAAAAAGGAGGGAAATTGAAAATTTTTCTATAAGCATCTAATAATGCTGTGAAAGTATGAATCTTATTTTATTTTTTTGGGCAAAGTGTAAAAGTATGATCTAGAATGAATATTCAAAAGTAATTGATTTTTTTAGTGGTGTATATGATTCTCTTTCAATTTTTCTCTTTTGAGTTTTGATTGAAGATTGTGTGTGGGGTTATGGTTATGCAGGCATGATAATGGGGGCTTCAGCATCATCAGTTTGGTACAATTTAAGGGTGCCCCATCCGTGCAGAGAAGTGCCCATCTTAGACTATGATCTGGCCCTCTTGTTCCAGCCTATGCTCATGCTTGGCATCACCATTGGTGTGGCTCTCAGTGTCGTCTTCCCCTATTGGCTAATCACTGTCCTCACCATAATTCTGTTCATGGGTAATTTTTATTTTTTCTTTTAATTATTGGTACTTTTATATTATTTTTGGGAAAGAAAAAAAAAGTACATGGGGTAATTTATGTAGCAATGATTGGTACTTTTATATTGTTTTTTAGTGTATCATTACCGATCACAACTCACAAAATTCAGTATCATTTGTTTTCAACTTAATATAATGGCAATTGACATTTTATATTTTTTTATTTTCCGTTCAACAGGGACATCATCAAGGTCCTTTTTTAAGGCCATCCAGATGTGGAAGGAGGAGACTATTTTAAAGGTTAGTTTTTTTTTTTTTTTTTTTTTTGTGATTTATGGTCCTTTTGGATTTACTTTGTAAAAAAATATATATATTATGGTAAACAGATCAGCAATTCATGAACAATGTTCAAAAAGAACACTACAAAGAAAACATAGGATTTTAGTGTTTATTAAGAAAAAGAAAGAAAAAAAAAAAAAAGAAAAGAAAAGAAAAGAAAAGAAGCACTAATACATGAAATTAGAGGTATATTTATGACAGGTATCAACCCAATTTTTAATTTTCTGTTTCTAAAAATTGCAGAAAGAATTGGTGAGGCAAGAGCAAACTACTTATAACTCTCATGGTGAACGTAAGACACCCCGAATGCCTCGTGTTTTTAATGATAGTGTTTTTTCATAAAGTATGGATTTAATAGAATGTAAATTTTCTTTTTATGTTGTGGTCTTCTTTTCAGTTCTAATTGATACAGAGTATGATCCATTGGTTCCTAGAGAGGAGAAAACAGGAATGGTGAGCAAAGCCTATTTTAACATCTTCTGATTTTCATCTTCTAATTTAGTGATCCTAAACCAGTTTTCTGCCCTTTTCAGCAAATTTTTTGTTCCAACCTAAAGTGGAGAAGGATTCTGGTGCTAATACTTGTATGGGCTTCTTTTCTACTACTTCAAATCATCAAGGCAAGTACCTTAATTGATAAACACACTGATGTTTAAATGTGTGCATGTTTGTGTGTGTACCTTAATTTTAATATTTTTCATTGTTGATACCGGATATCCAGAATGATGTGGCGGTTTGTAGTGTGTGGTATTGGGTGCTGAGCTGCTTACAGGTAATTGAACCCGACTTGATCAACAGTTTTCTTTCCCCTAATTCACTTGATCAATCTCAGCACCTTCAGTTCTGTTTTTCAGTTCCCTGTAGCAATAGGAGTGTTTGGATATGAATGTGTTAAATTGTATAAAGCAAGCAAGAAGAGGAGGAACACAAGGAACACAGAATCAGTTTGTGAGGCAAATATTGAATGGACTCCAGTGAACCTAGCCTTCTGTGCACTATGTGGGATCTTGGGGGGCACTGTTGGGGGCCTACTGGGTTCTGGTGGTGGGTTCATTCTTGGGCCTCTTCTGCTCGAAATCGGAGTCATCCCCCAGGTATGCTCACCATCTCCCAATTTTCTTTTAAGGAAAAAAAAACTTTGGTCGTTAAACTTCAGTGTGTTTTTTGTTCCCATCTTAGCCATTGATCATAATTTATGCCTCTTGACGATACATGAAGTGAAACTTACAAGTCTGTATGTCCCTATGTGGTATTTAAGATACTTTGGTTCTAGTAAATAAAAGATTTTGTTTGAAGTTGCATTATCTTCATCCGTCTTAGTAAATATCCTCTTGGCACCACTAATGTTCGGATATGCTGATAAAGAGCTCAAGAAAAGTCAGATACAATGTGATTTTCTTGAAAACTTGACAGAATGACGGCTCCACTTGTTTCTTTCACAGGTTGCTAGTGCGACAGCAACGTTTGTGATGTTGTTCTCGTCATCCTTGTCTGTGGTGGAGTTCTACCTCCTCAAAAGATTCCCCATTCCTTATGGTATATCCACAGTTAATTCTCTTTATCGAAGAGGACTTGATTGAATAACAGTTGATAAACGTAAAATGGTCTATGATCCATCTTATTATTCTATTTTTGCAGCGTTGTACCTCATGAGTGTCTCTCTTTTGGCTGGTTTCTGGGGACAATTCTTCATCAGAAAACTCATTGCAATTCTAAAGAGAGCTTCACTTATTGTGTTCATCCTCTCCGCTGTCATATTTGCCAGTGCTCTAATAATGGGTAATAAAAAAAATCTCCCATCCTATCCCCTTGTCAAGTGTAAAATACATAATTCTAATAATACGTAGAGCTCGTGTAAGATTTTTATCTAATGTGCTTATGACTAAGGGATCACAATTGCCTTCTGAAAAAAATTTGACAGGGGCTGTTGGAATTGAGACAACCATCCGAATGATAGACAATCATGAATTTATGGGATTTTTAGGATTTTGCAGAAGTCAATGAAGTCTGGATTCGAAGACACCATTGAAGGTTACAAAAGTGGAACAAACATAAAACAGACAACAATATCATAGAGAAATGGAGTTTGTATAGGCAGGGTGTTGTTGGCCAATGCCCGATTGACCAACACACCAATGCCATGAAATAAAATGAAGTTTCATTGCGTCGAAGGGAATTATTAGCTGCATCGAGTGTTAACTACTCGTTAACACTGCTAATGCGGCATTCGTTTTTTGTTGTTGATTTTACCATTGATTGTTCTCATGTATCTAGGATTTGTTCAAGATTCTTAATAAAACAGAGAGATCTGAATTATTTCTTCATCTCATGAAATTAATTCTTCTTAGTTTTTCAGCTCTCCTTGAGCATAACAATAAACATTACCCTTTGCACATATTGAGCAGTGCTATTTGGTTGTTGTTGTGACAGGCAACTCTCCCAACACTCACGAATAAACGTAGACCCTACAAAGGGCTAAGTATTGGGACATTTGCACCTTTTTCATCAAATGTATGTAATTTTTTTTATCTTCTTTTGTTGCATAATCTTCTGTAGAGGAGTTGATTTTCAAGGTATAATGTCAAGGTCTAATATCTAGTATACAATAATTTTGATGCATTTATTCAAATGTGTAGGTAGAAATCAATCATAGATATCAATTATTGGCTTGTTGATTCAACAACTTGGCTTTGTTTGGTCAATATCATACGCATGGTTAGAAAAGTCTAGATGATCACCGTTTTTGGAGTGTGGGAAAGATTTGGACACTTGTTTGTTTTGTTTCTGCGTCACATGGGATATGGAAATTTGTTTGTTTCCCACATATGCCCTACATCTGTTTTTCCAGAACATTATTGAATGGTCAAGTAAAAGGATTAATTCATGGACAAAAATTATAATTGCAAAATATAGCTTTAATTTAAGAAATGAAATATTGAAAGGTTCAGGACCGAGCACGTGAGAGCGACATTTGTTGAAAAAGATTATGTATTTTAGTTCAGGACTTGAGTGGAAAAATATTTGAGAAGTAGTACAAATGGTTTTATGAAGACTTCATATAATTTATGGGTATTTAAAAGAAAGAAGAAAAAAAAAAAAAAAAATGACTTGTCGGTAATAATTTTTTTTTTTTTTTCAAAAATTCAAACAAATTCGTACACAGCAACTAAAATACTCGACCTTCTCTGTGGGAAAGAGAATTTATATCATCTAGATTATTGTCTAACGGTTAATTTATCATTTTTCCATCTTCTTCGTGTTACTACATTTCATTGTTTGGTTATTATAAAGCGGACAATCTAGGCCTGTCGGTGAATCAACTTTGTTTTGAATGCAATATAAATTCTCCTATAATTTTTATTTGGATTGAACATTTAATCTCATAATTATTTAATAATTCGAATTCAATAATCAATTAAATTAACAAGTCAAATATCATTATCGTAATTATATAGCTTTGTATGTCTTTATTTAAATCGGAATTTTGGTTAAATTCTTGTTATTTGTATAAAGTTCGATTAATTGTGGCTCGATGGATTAAATACCTCACACTAACTGAAATTATGCTGTTGGATTCCACTGGTTTGGCTAATTACAGGCTTGATGTCCTATTGTTTGTAGTCCTTAATGTTCTTATTTTATTTATTTTTTATTTTTTTCATGGTAAGAATGTTAAGAGTCAATTGTTAGAGGGAATGAAGAGGAAGAGGGTGCAAGATTGGAACACGAGCTCTTAAACATGAAGAACAACCCAATTACTCAGTTGCAAACTTGCAATGTTCTTTAAAAAAAAAATTGGATAACCTAAATCTAGAAACTCACATCCAACAATTAGAAATTGTGCATGAAAGTAAAATATTGTGAGTAATTATTAACAACTCACAACATGACATTTTTTTTATTGTTTAGAAAGAAATTGGTTCGAAATAATCCGTTTGGCCATGCACTCGGACTATAATAAATTTAATTAGTAATAGAAAATTTGGCTTTTTGGTTAGGGAAGGAATGAGTATGGGTAGCTCACAAAATTTCGATAATTTGTCTCATTTTTGCTTACATTCCACAAAATTGAGCATCAAAAAATAATTTTGTTATTTTCTAAAAATGCAACCAGAATGTAAGAATATACAAGTTTAAGTTCGTATTTTGTACTATTTATCTTCTCCATTTTTAGAAAATAACAGAATATAATTGGGTTAGAATTTCATCAATTTAATGCAGCATACAACTCTTTTATGTCCTCTACAACTAAAGTACAAGATATGGCATTCCAAGAGGTATTAAAAGTGAAACAAAATCAATTACCAATGCCAAAAGTAAAATAAAAAAAATTAAACAATCAAATATAAAATATTTTCACAAGTAGAAAAAAGAAATTGACATCATTTAAAGGGCAAAGATGACACTTGACAGAACCCTGACTCTTTAAATAAATCTGAAAAACAAGATTAAAGTAAAAACTGGAATCTGACAAACACAGCAGGAAAGATATGAAATTTAAGAGCCCCACAGCTTAGTGTGGTGTGCCAAACATTCATGAATGGTTGATAAAGAAAATAGAAGCAAGCAAAAGATACTAAGAATTATGAAAAGTATTCAAGAAATATATGCCAAGACATGAAATTAATTTCAGAAATGTATGCTAAGAAATATCAAAAAGAATCTCAGAAATGTGTAAAAGAAGTTCAATATCAAATAAATTTTTTTGAAATGAACAAAGCCAACATCAACAATTCAACATGACAAATTTAATGAGGAACATTATTTGACCTGTTGCATGCTGTACACTGTCCCCAACAGTTGCGCCAGAGAAGTAAATTTCTCAATGGGAAGCTAACAGCATTAAACTGGAGTACTTGTTTTGCTCTAGCTTTCACCTGCATTATACCAGACCCATCCAGAAAACAAAATGGAATCCCAAACCTGTAGAAAGGAGCCACATTTGAAGAAAGCTTTACGTAGAGAACAGCGAAGGAAGATTTGACTTATACAAATATAGTCCAGCATTGAGCATCCTACCTAGAAGAGTTGCTTATAGGTGGTTTCGAAGGTCTGCTACCATAATAGGGATTTTCCACCGAAGAGTCCATATTGAAGGCAATATTTGCCATTCCACCCTCCATTGCCTCCCCCTCTTCTTTCTCCCTCTTTCTTTTTTCAGAACTTACATTCTGCAGCTTGGGATTGAACAGAATGTATTGGAAACTCTAAAAGACGAGGACCTGCACTGATCCATGGATGACAAAGACACTGGGCTGCGGTGGGGCGCTTCTCCGGGACAAAATCAAGTATGGGAACCAGGAAGTCCGCCATGTCATTTGCATCTTGCTCACTGATTCTGTATCTCTCCATAAGAACCTTATTTAGGGGCCAGAAACACAACTGACGGATGTGCCTCAAATCACCATTTCTGTTGAAGAAGTCCCGGGAATAACGGCCACACAGCGCAATCTAGGTACAGTTGTCAACATACCTAAGATTAGATGCACAAATAACCAAATAATTTCCTTGAAGATATAAAAAAATGATACTTTTACCTTTCGTGGCATCATCCCGAGAAGCTCCATCATCAGAGCTAACTGATCCTGTAAACAGGAAAATGCATTACGTTGATATTGATCTATTATTACATTTAAAGCCTCTACAGAAGCTGATTAACAGCTTCTTATAGACTTAAATGCTTGTAGGTAACCACCACAAATATCTAAATTTTCTTTTAAAGATCCTAAATGCTGGAGGTTGGCAGATTCAACCCTATTTCCACAGTACCGTGGTAACTAAAAACTACAGTAACAAAGCAGGGTAAAATACTGCTCGTAGCAAGTCTCAAGCCTCCTCGAAAGAATTAGTGAAGATTTTCTACATGTTATAAACAGAAGAGAAGGAGACGTAAAAAAAGTAGGATAGTAGTTGCCATCTTCTCAAGTAAAGCCTACTCCAACTAATATAGCCCCAACTCCACAACCGCTACTTTTTTATTTTGCAATTCAATGGATTGTGGTAGCGGATGACTAAGTTGTTAAGTTCTTTTTTTTTTTTTTTGGGGGGGGGGGGGTGGATCAGGTCAGTACACCTTCTTTGGATGTTCAAATGCTCAAAGTTTGAAATCTAAGATTTCAGTAATTTATGTAATCATTTTTTTAATGCAAGTTTATTTTTGTCAGCAGCTCGATTTATATTACGCATTATTCATTTAATTTATATCATTCATACCTGTCCTAGAGAAATCACTTCATTCATACTAAATTGATTTATCTACAATGTGTATAAATTATGTATTGAAACGAGTTCACATATATGTTGCCACATTTCCATGGCCCTCTCTCTCTATCTTTCTCACCCCCTCAACATAGACTCACATGGTTTTACATAACACATGCATGTAACAATGAAAAATGTATAAAATATAAAGCATAATAAACAATAATGATATGGGAAGAGAAATAGGTCCATACCTCATCCCTACGAAAATTGTCACCACTGTGAGGATCAAAAAGAAAGTCACCAGTTGCAAGCTCAAAACAAATGCAAGCAAAGGACCAAAGATCTGCTGAAGCAGAATATTCAGATCCAAGTATAACTTCTGGACACCTATACTGCCTTGTTTGGATATCATCCGTAAATTGTTTGCAAGTCCAACAAGCATTCCCAAAATCAACCAATTTGCACTTCAAGTCAACCGAAGTAAACAGATTCTGCCTTGTGTAACGGTTCCCTCTCTTACGGCCTTTATATACTCGCCCATTGCCCCCATCAGCATCCAACAAACTATTTGCACTGACAGAACTATCAGGCCTAGTTTCCATGGAACCAACATTTGACTTTGAATTGTTAACAGACTCCATATCACCAGATGTTTCAGGATCTGTCTCAGCTTCTGCAGAAATTTCCTTCCCCGTGCAATTTTGAGCTGCCTGCTTACCCTTTCCTCTAATCTTTTTCTTTTGATTCTTAGTCAAATCTCCATTGAATGCCTGCTTACCCTTTCTACTCTTCCTGTCCGGAAGAATAAGAGAGGCATCAGATTTTCTAGGATCCTTAGATGGGTCAATCGTGGACAGTAGTAAGATATTCTCCGGCTTCAAATCAGTGTGTATAACAGAGAGCTGTCTATGCAAGTAATCCAAACCCACTAAAACATGAAAACATATCTCCTTTACTCTATGAATAGGCATTCCACGGTGATCAGAATACTTGCAAAGTGTCAAAAGATTATCCCCTAAATACTCTAAAACCATACAAACATGATGCCCATTTGGACCCGAGTGCTTAAAATGGTCTAATAGCTTCACCACGCATTTCTTATCATCCAGGTCTCCATCTG